CTGTTCCTGCTTCCCGGTGGGTCGACAATGTCAACGTCGACACCACCTCTGTTCCAGTTCCCCAGTGGGTCAACTGTTTCGATGCCACCTCCGTTCCTGCTCCCCGGTGGGTTGACGATGACATCGATGCCACCCTGGTCCCAGCTCCCAAGTGGGCCATCTTAACATCCACCTACCACTCATTACCTCCTGGTTCAGTTTCTCATATATATGCCCCTTTTCTGGTTGCTCCCCTCTGGTTCATTGTCTACGCTCACCTGCTACCTGAGGCTCCAGTTCTCCATTTCCCCACTCTGCATTCTCCAGCTTTCTGTTTCACAGCTCTGTGTTATTCGTTTCTCAACTCCAGTTCTCCATTACCTGACTCAGCACTCTTCAGTTCAGCACTCCCAGGTACTCCAGTTGCCAGGTACGCCACAGCTCCGTGCTACTTGCATGCCTTTGTCCCCAGCACCACGCTGCCTGCCTGCTTCGTCCTCAGCACCTGTCCCGTCCAGAACCTATTCTACCTTTGTCCCATCCAGTACCTGTTCGGTTTCTGTCTCCTCTCTCCTCCACCCAGTAACCTGTTCTTTGTTTGTCTTAAATAAACTCCTTCTGTGCTCAACTCTTGTGTGTCTGCATATCCAACTGCACTTCTGCCTTAACATGTTGTGCAATGTGTCAAAGAAAAAAAAACCTGAGTCTGCCTCAGAAAATGCTAACGTGTACCTGATAAGAGCTGTCCTCTTTCCAGCCTCAGGACCAGCACAGAGTATCTGATTATAGAGACACACTCCACCCCACTGTGCAGGGGACGCTATGCCCCTACCAACATATTATCACACTGTCTGAGAACTGAGTCATCTGTGTGTGTGTGTGTGTGCGTGTGTGTGTGTGTGTGTTAGACAGATAGAGAAAGCAGTATGTGTTCAAAAGAAACATTGGCATTATCTCCCAGACACTCTTTGCCCATCTGCTCCCTCTCTTTCTCTTTATCTGTCTCCATCTCTTTAGTTGTCTCCGAGATGCTGACTCAGTGGAACAAAGTGAAAGAAGTTGCTTAAACTCTTTCCTCAGTCCTTTGTTTGAGTCAAATGTTGCGCTTTCTGAATTAGCTCACTCTGTAGCTTGTTTCAACACTTGCCGTGCTGGCAGAAGCATGTTATAAGATCTGTGTGCAAGACTCCAGTACAGAGAGGAAGTTAATGTGTGCTGATGTTTGTCACTGACCGCTATAGAGTCAAGTTCTGCTTTCAGCCATGAGGCACCTTGGCCATGTTCGTCAGCACGCCTGGTTGTCAACACAGCTCAGGTTATACAGGACACTCTGACCTTCTTTACCCAACTTGATTTTAACATTATGTGAATGGGAGTTTCTTATTCTTCAGTTAAAATTTTTTTTTAAGTATTTTGGGTCGAGATCTCCTTTAGGTATGCCATTTGTTTTAATTCCCAGCAGCTGATAGAGTGTGTGCCCTCATTCTCTCTGTGCTAATGTGACAAATCACAATGTGATCAAGTAAAAGAATTCTGTTAATGCACAAATTTATCACCACACAGCCTAAATGCCAAATGTTTTCACTATGTGCTGCAGGATGCAGTAAGATGCACATGGATAAGCCTGTGATGAAGGATGCAAGAGCAACCCCCATATGCAGCCATCTAACATGATAATGCATCACACATTTCTGGGAAGAGTTTATTGACAGGGCAGGAAGGCTGTGTGGGTGGGTCGTAAACATTTCACATCGGTTATCAGATCTGATGGGAAAGAGCAGCCTGTGTGCGGAACCCATGTACGAGCCTGTATGTGTGTGTCCATGTGTGAGCAACAACGCGTGAGAGCCTGAGTGTGTTGGACATGTGTGGGCGTCTGTGTGTGTGTGGGTGAGCAGCATTCCAATCTATCAAAGTCACCAGTGGGACGCCCTCTGCCTTGGGAGAATTATGAACCATGCCCAACTACTGCGTCCTGTTGTTCTCCTACCACCGTTTCCTCCAGATTCACCGAGTGGCTGCAAGTGGAGCAGACACCTCACCAGGCATCGCCATGCTACATTCACAACACTACCACCAGAAGCTGACACATAAAGATGCCCACATGCCTGCCATGTTGATACAAATGGTATTGATATTTGTAAAACTGATCACACAAGGAGTGTCTTTCTCGGACAACTGTGGTTCTATAACGATGTACTGTATTCATACACTCATGCACTTACACACTAATAGAGTAGACAAAGTAAAAGTGTGTGGGCCACTAGTTCAGTCAACATCTCACTTGTTTGACACAAAGTACATTATTTCCAGCCTTAAATCCCATTTCTAACTATAAAACTGTATTGGACCATCAATGCTACAAGTATGGTCATTTAGGAAAAGTATAATCCATTTCTTCATGTTTTGGTTGTTTAGTGTTTCAGTATTTTGTGGTGGGCCTTTTGATTTACCTGCTATAACCCTACTCTGTTCCTGGTTTTGACTAAATAAGGCCCAAAGATGACAATTTACACTTTAAATTTGGTGGGTGAGATTGTGTTGTGATTGTAGACATGCGTTCAAACTAAGAGACAACACATTACTACACTAGATTAGAAGTGGAAGTAGATGTGACAGAGAGGATGTGGGAAAATGTAACACATTCAATGAAAAAAGACAGACAATAACGGCCTAACTAAAACTATGATCCAAATGTGATTCATAATCCAATAAATTTTAAAGACTGAGCACATTATTTCACAATGCAATCCTTTTTCTTTCAAGATTTTTCCCAAAGCCTGTGCTTCTCTCACAATGACGCTTTGTCCAGATGACATGTTTAATTTCATAATGTCATTTCTCCTCATAAAGATAATGAAGATAATGTGTACTATCAGATTCTGTCAGTGAAATTCACAAAATGAATTCACAGCTTTATCATAAATTCATATTTACATGTATGTATGAAGACAAGCTTTTCCAGTCAGTATGTGATTCTATGCAAAGTGAAAAATGTGGCAAATATTATCACAAAATAAATTTTGCACAAATACAAGTCAAAAATTGCACAACATACTATCTGATGGTACCATTAAAATGTTGTTGTTGTTGTTTTTCTTTTCTGAAAAACTACATTTGTAAAAAAGGATTTAATTTATTGCAGCAATTACAACAAAACATGTGGCCTCTAGTACAGGATTTGTCAATATTTTATTTTCTGGAAAAACCTTTCTTTGTAAAGTTTTTTACAGATGCATATTATGAATTAAGAATTTTAATACCAACGTGCTTCTATAGCTTGAAGAAATCTGGTCATAAATAGAAATATTAGGGCAGGGTTCAAAAAGTCCCAAGATACAGTGTGGGATAAAAAAAAAATGAAAAAAGCACTAGGTGAGGAGCTGCATGGGAGTGGGAAGGATTTCACTGTGCATAGGGTGTCTGATCCCACACCTGCAGAAGAGAAACCCTGTTTGAAGTGCCTGTTCGCTCACCCTCTGGGCTCACAGCACAGATGATTGATGAGACATCTCGAGCGCTACAGCTTTACACATTAAAGCAGACAGCGTGCCAGAAAGAGAGTCAGACCTCAAGCCTGAGAAAGAAAGAGGGAGAAAATGTGCAAAACGTGCAACAAATAGGGGACAAGAAAAGAAAGTGTCGCATCGGACTATGGTTTAGTCACAGTCACAGCTTACAGTGACTTCTGAACATACAAGCCAGGGACATTTCAACCAGACCCCCAAGTCCAGCATCGTGAGTCACGACATTTGTCCTGAAAAGTTTT